AATTGGATAATTTAGAAATATTGGTTCTAACTAATGAGGAAAAGAAAAGACCTGATGCTTTCATTGACACTCTATCAACCCTAAGTTGTAGGATAATATGAAAAGGGCTCACCACTGGAGCAGTGGACAATGTCTACACTGCATTACTTCCTAAAAAGTTGAGTTAAGGTGAAAAGTCCAGACTGACCTGACCTGATGCTGTAAATGTTTAGATGACCAGTATTCAAATATAGCTACAAAGGTACTAGTAAATGTTAAAGAAGACTTCTATAATATAAATTACCTTTTTTATTAACCTAGTTATAATTAAATTCATTGTACTCAAATGGATATGTTATTTTTTAGTGCTTCTAATTAATCCACATGTTATATAGTTGAGTAATTATCTTTAAAGTATATTTATAAAGCATATAAATGCTTTTAATTTTATATAATCAATTACTTAAAGCTTATATTTAATTTCTTTTTAACACTTTAGGCTATATACTAAGAATACTTAGAAGTGATAAATTTTTTAACATTTTGCCTAAAATATTCTAAAACTAATCTTTCTGCAGAAGTTAGAAGGAAAAAAAAAAGGATTAAAAAAACTATTTCTCCCTCAGCTTAAGTTTAGATCAGATATCTAGTATTATAGACAGTTATTTTTAATGAGAATACAGTAAATAGCATACCACAGTGTGATGGTATGGAAACACAATGTGGGAGTCGTACGGCAAAAACATAGATGATTTGGATCCAGAAAATGTAGGTCTCAGGGGCAATCAGTCTCCTTTACTCTGAGGCACCTGTTCTCTCACACTGACAGCTAGGCTTGGGAAAATATTTCTCTTTAATGTCTGTGGTAAGATCAGAGACTCAGGTCTGGGCTCTGAGGGAGATAACTGGATGGCCACCGTGACTACAGGCCAGTCCAGTCATCCTAACTTGGGCAATGGGATAGAGCAGTGCTCACCAGAGATATAAACTGGGATCTGGGGCAAAAGCCTGACTTAATAATACTGGTTGAGTAGGGGGTGGAAAAAGTTTATAATACCGTTGTCCTAAATCACTTAATACTGATATGTGAGTAGCCATGAGTAATGTGAATATTTGTATGTGAAGAAGCTGTGGTGGTTATAAACAGGAACAATTAAGCCTGTGTCACATAGTTCATAGCTTGTTATGAGGGCGATGTGAGAGTAAAAAGTATAAAATGGGATATATCTGTGTAAGCTTAAAATGACACAATTACAGCATATATATGCATATATATGTATATACATATGTATGTATGTTATGTATCTAGCCTTTTAAAAAATATGTTTTTGAAGTCAAACATGCTCATACCTTTTGGATTCTCATTGTATTCATGAATGGCCCGATACTCTAGGCAGGCTTTTTCTTCCTATAAACAATAAAAAAAGTAATATAACAAAAAATATATTTGTGCTGTGCTAGAGAACTTAGTCTTGATTTTTAAGCAGGGTTCCAGAGTCTGCTTCTAGCTAATGACATAAACGTGACAATTACTTCACTTTCCTGGGCTCTTGTAAAATGAGGGGCCTTAGATGCTGACTGATTGTAAATGTCTTCGTAGCTTAAAACTGTGTGAAAAAAAAAAAATGTATGATTCAAGAATTCTCCTCAAAGAAGATTCAGGAATGCTAACTGGTATATGATATGTCGCAACACTTTACATTGTCAAACTGGTGTTTGATGATTTCTACGTTAAAGAATCTGAGGTACCACCCTAACTCATAAAAGTTCCCTATAAACAGAATCATTTCTCCCCTCTGAAGGAACTGCTAGAACATTTTCTCTTCTCAGTGAGAGAAAGGAATCTCGGAAAAAGGAGGAATTAAGAAAGAGAATGAACTCTATGGCATAATGCCATTTTTTAAATTAAAAATACACGCAAACAATACATGTTTTACAAGTACACACTCGAATAAGAAGACAAATACATTTCAGCTGTTGTCTATGTTAGGGAAAAGAGAAATGGGAATGAGGCTAAAAGGGAATAAATTTAAATAAGAGGGAAGATCCCTGCACAGACCAATGATGAGAATATTTTATTAACTAGAAGGTATGACTAATTCAGTATTCTGCACAAGAGGTACAAAAAATGAAAATGAAAATGAATCAGTACAAAGTCATTCAGTTTGCGTTTTGGAATTCCACACCTCTGAAATTAATACAGAGTAGGGTTAGCAAACGAATGATTTCCAACCTACCAACTGTCTCCTAGCAGGGTCACTCTCAGGCAAAACTGCCAAATTGAAGAGATTATGTTTTTGACACCCCCTAACTCCACTTTCAGGATGATTTTTGCTTCCTCAATGATAGTTTGTCCTAGTCCTCCCATACATACTTTTGTCTAGACTGCATTATCTGAGGAACTGATCATATCAGATACTGCTGTGACCAACTTTCATTCATCCATACACACGTAAATATGTGCAGGTATGTGTACACATACACATCCCATTTCTGCCACCAGCACCAGGGCTCCTAACTTTGCATTTTCAGCATTTCAAGGACTGGGTGAAGAACTTCTTGGTTAATTTCCCAACAATATACTATCCTCGCCCATACCAGTAGACTTACACTTGTGGAAAACAGAATGCTACCAAGCAGTGTAGAAAGTATGCTAGAAACAAAGTTTGCCTGATTCATAAATTAGCCAAAGCCTTTTCTATGGCACATGAGCGAAGTTATTCATAGAAGTATTTCTTCTCCTGAAGGAAATTGGAATCTGCCCTCTGCAGGAATCAGGAGCCCCATATGCTCTCTGTTAGGCATGATCTCAGGATGTAAGCACCTATCATCATACCTTTTCATTGGTTTTAGCTGAGCTGTTATCGGTTCTTTTCGTTTCTTCTGTTTCACGGTTGTCACCTGCAGAAACATTTTTATCATCTCCCACAGATTTCTTCTCGCCTTTCAGATTTTCAGAATTAATTTCCTCATCCACATCTTTTGGTTCTGCTCCTTCAGTTTCTGAAAATTTGTGATCCTGTGACAAAATTGATCATCAGAGAAGAGTTAAGATTTTCTTTTGTAAAAATAGAGATGACTTTTACCATCTCAAAGAACACATACAATATTAATTCAAATGTTGGAGTCAAAGAACTAAAATGCTTCATAATCCATGTTGAATATCAAGTTACTGTATTACCAAGGATTTTATGCATGCTGTTCTACTTCAACAACTAGAATCACTAAAATTCTACGAGCACCTACGGCAAGGTTAAAATGGAAAAAAAAATTAAATATGCTTCCTTGGCTGTCTCAAAGAGTGCTTTTAAAATTGAGAAAAGTTAAAAAGCTTTCTGTTTACTGTAGCATTATAACAATCATATCTATATATTATGTTCATTTTCCAAAACACAGGGATTTAGAATCACTTTAGAGGTATGATTCACTGATAGTCATGAGAGAGGTTTATATTCCAGAAAAAGATAAAGGGACATAGTTTAAATGGTTTCCTCTTGGTTACTGAAAGCAGAGGGAAAACCAAACAGAGGTCTATCTGGCTACTGGCCAGCTAATTCAAATTATAAAACAGCCTGTCTATAGATTTGATAGACTGATAGTCAATCATGCAATGCTTATTAGTATAAGTAAAAAATATTAGTTTTAGCCTTTATTCTACCTCAGATTTTTTTTTAGTTCATATTTTAGGTGAAATACTCTTATTGATTATCACTAAGAGATTAGGTTTTTCATTCACATGCTTCACTAAAGTTATAATAGCCTCTAAAATAGGCGAGGCAGTAATCAGTGTCATTCACTCCCTTGAATAACGTTTGTACAAAGCTCACCTTGATAATATTTGATTCAGATCATATACACCCTTTATATCCCCTTCAACACTGTAACTAGCTTTTGGTGGTAAGCTTCGCAGTGGCTGTTTGGCTAAGGATAAAGCCTGATACCCAACAGGATCTTTAGTAGGTGTTTGGAAAACAATGCTTCTAATAAACTTACCTTTCTTTTGATAAAAATACAAAATGGGACAGTTCAGGCTAAGGAAAGGATATGTTTATATGGCACACCTTAGTAATAAATATAAGTGGCACCCTCAGGCCAGTAGCATCAAGGGTGTGAACTAACAGCATTCCCACTGAGGCCAGGCAGTCCCTAAGTATGGCCTTGAGATTTAAAAAAGTTTTCAGAAGCCACTCTGGGAGAACTTGACTTAGGTTAATCCAAGGTCATGAGGCAGTGTATGCAAGAGGGGGAACATGAGAGAGGGGAACATGATACCAGGGCAGACAGCTATGTCAAAGGATGATTGGTTAGGCTGGGTAGGGTTAACCATGAGGCAGCTACCATTTACCAAATAACTTCTGAAACGTTCTTTGTTTCTGCATGATTTCCCTTCTAAGTGACTTATATATTGTATATTATGCCTAGCCAGAGGCACATTATGGGTAGCTAAACTTATCAGAGACAACTTTACTTTGAAAGGGAATGGGAAGAAAGATTACTAGATTTAAGACTTATGACTCATAAACAGTTATATTCATAAATATACATAAATGAAAGGCTAACTAGGAAGAACAGTGCTCCTGAGACACAGAATTTCATACTATGCCCCTCTGTCTCACAGAGTGTCAGTGAGTCGTGTTCCCACACAGTCCTTAATTACTTGGAGAGCTTGGCTAACCTAGCTCTTCGGTCAACTCCAATCGGTCTTCTTAACCAAGTTATTAATGTAACCATAGGATAAAATGCTATTACAAAAAGAACCTTGGGGTTTTACCTTAGTTTAGAAATAAGAAAAACATCTTATAATGAACTACAATTTTACTCATTAACTATAAGAAAATCTGTAACAATGAAGAACTATTAGAACTATATCATTTTCTAAATTTGAGAAAGCTATTAGAAAATGACATTTTCACTAGAAATCACATCATCTATTATAGCACTTTGCACTTACTAATAAGCACATTAAAAATTATTCTATACATATCTGGACAACTACTTTAAATCACAGAAAGTACTTACCTTCAAACTGAAACAATTTGGGAGAGATTGGCAGAATATTGGCATTTTATAAAAAGAAAGGGTAAAGTTTAAGTACATTCTTGGCACTAGAATCACACGAGATGCAAAGGTAGTCTGGAATGGTCAAGTACATGCCTTGTGTTAGGACCACAGTAAAAAAAAAAAAAGTGAGTAGGCCTGACCTCTCACAAAAGGACCCTTGTTTTATTGGTCAGACAGAACACAGTGAGCTGCAGTCTTTGGTCTGGCTCAGGGCAACACTTTTTATATTTCTTATGGGAAAGATCAAGAATGCAAAGGTTCCTCCTGCGGTTTCAGTTTGGTTAAGAATACAATTACACTGCATGCTTTAAGAACTAGAGATTGCTGGGGTGGGGAATGGGAAATGACTGAAGGGGGTTGAAGAGGAGCTTCTGGGGGAACCGATATTGTGCTTTTTCTTGATTTGGATGTTGATCAGTTTGTGATGGATGTGATCAGTTTGTGAAAGACACATAGAGCTATACATGTATAAGATAGGTACTTTGTGTGTATTACAGTTTTTTTAAAGTAAAAACAAAACCAAAAAAACCCAAAACTATAAAACATAAAATTGCATGCTATAATTCTGGATATATGACATGTCTCAATGTCATATAGGGTAGAAAATGTTTTCCAAATAGGTTAATATAGCATAAAACTTTATATTTAGGTTTATATCAGGTAGGAAAAATATATTTTAAAATCTCAACTTCAAGTTTTTTTTAGGACAGGAAAAGTTAACATGTAAGTCCATGTTTTAACTACACTAGATATCATTGAGGCGATAGCAGGGATTGGGAAAGGTATTAGATACAAAGACCTAAGCACTGCTTGCCAAGCCTTGCTCTAATCACTCATGGCCTGAGCACAGCACCTAATTAATGTGCTTTACAGTCTGTCTGTAAAATGAGAAAATAACATTAACAACACCTACCTTGGAGGGTTTGTGTAAGGATTTAAAAAATTATTTACAGAGAAAAATAACATGAAAAAATACTATATATTTATATTTAAACATAAGTGATTTTTACATTATCAAAAGATAGAATTCCTAGTATGCACTGAGGACTATCAAAAAACAAAAAACTTGGACTTGTTTTTGCCATAATGTCCCAGATCTTATCATTAGAAATGGTTCTTTTAAAGTGTGCACTTATTTGTTCTACCTCTTCTACACATCCTTTTATTCTAAGCCAGGAGCCCAGCAGCTAGGGCAGGTGAGGGAAGAAGGTGGCTGCGTGCCTGTGACAAGGAGCAATGAGAACCAGGACAGCCTGAGCTCAGCTTCAGGCCAGGGTTGTCCACAAGCACGATGCTCCTAGACTCTCAGGCTTTCCAAGAGAAGTCTGAGAAACATTTTTAAAATGTAAACTCTCCCAATATTTCAATGTTGGCAACCAATTCAAATTTTTAAAAATCATTGTGTATACAAAACAAAATAAGTCTGTGGGCCAGACCACACCCATGCGCAGCCAGTTATGACCTCCAAATTCTTGGCTAGTAATGATATTATTTTATAATCTCTAACTCTTCCTTCTTTCTAGGAACCACTCCCTTGCTTCATTCCTAATCCTGTATTTTCATCACTGAATACATTCCATTTTCACTCTGATAGGCAGGCCTGCACAAATGAATGTAATGTTCAGGGTACAAAACGTCTTGCTGGTAGGCATTTTTCTTCTCATTTTCAGATTTACTCTTTACTGTTTGCCCTCTCTTTTTCCTTAGAAAATTTAGTTCCAAGTTGTACTTAAAGAACTGCATGATCCATGACTATGCTTTACGTGCTAATTATTTATTTTTTTTTATTTTGGTAACAACATTAGGACACAGAGGGATATCTGCTGTTTAGTGGCAGCACTAACACCTAAATTTTAGTCTAACCTCATGAGTGCAATCAGCCCTCAATTATGCTTTAAATGTTAAGGGGCATTATTGACCCCTGTATGGTGTGTAACAGTAGAGTTTCACTTCACCTCATACTTACAGGTCATCGGTATTTTAATCCACGTTATTCCCACAGACCTATTTCCATAAACCAATTTAATTTTGGTTATTATGTTGTATGTAAACACAAGTCAGATTCACAGGACTAAACTCATGCACGCCAACTGGTGACCTGGAGATTCATGAGTGTAGCTTTGCATCTGCCTTGGTGTGATCAGAGAGGATAATTAGAGTGATGCAGGTTACCATTTGCTGAATGCCCATAACATGTTTCATATGTTAAGTGATTTAATTATCAAAAGACCCACTCTTTTATTAAAAGAGGGAAATAAGAGTCAGAAAGATAAAAAACAAAACAACAACAAAAACTTTTCCTGGTGACCACACAGCTAATCAGTGGAGGGCTGGGATTTAAATTCAGGTCTGCTGGACTCCAGAACCAATGCTCATTCCCAAACCTGCCCACATAATTTGAAAATCATAATGGCTATCCTCATAATTGTTTTCTTTTTCCTTCCCTCATTAACGTTTAAAGCATTGTAGACTCTTCTTTTGATTCCTAAGTTCACGTCGATAACATCCTATTCTTATACATTAACTGCAAATAAAAATTAAGGATTTTTTTCCCCAGAATACCAAAGTCTCTAGAAGATATTAATACATCTCCTTTCCTATACTGAGAATTGTGCCAGTAGCACTCTATAACTGATATTTAAATTTTCAAAGTTTAGTTCTGATTCTATTCCTCTGCAAAACAGACTTCCTGCAGCTCATTCTTTCCTGGCAATGTGGATTCTGCCCCTGGCCTTCCATTAGGCCACATCCGAGAGGCTCTCTCTGCAGCTGCTACCACTCCTTTCTCCTTGAAATCTCTTCCTTGGTTTGGGCGGCACCTCTCTTTCCTGGTAAGCATCCCCCCACCCCTTCTGAGACTTCACTTTCTCAACCTCCTCCTTACCTACTGATGTTTCCTTGAATTCTGTCTTCGGTTCTCATCCTCTTCACAATAGGAATGCTTCCTTTCATTCAAATCCAGTTTTAATGACATAAGCTGGAAATACTCAGCAATCTCCCCTGAGCTCCGGACCCATACATGTATCTGCTTACTGAGTATCTCCTGCAGACAATCTAAACTCAACAAGGCCAAAACCATCTCCCAAACCTGCTCCTAGTTCCCTATGCTCAATATTGCTGAATAGCACTAATTCCCCCTCAGTTCTCTAGGCCAGAAACAAGAAACACTTAGCCATTCTCTTCCCTCCTAGCTACAATTCTTTACTAAGCCTTACCATCCTATTAATATTCTGAATCTCTCTCAATATCACATATCCCCATCTCTCCATCCCCACTGTCCTGGTCCAAGCCCTCTTCAGTCCTTGCCTGGTCTACTATAACTGGCTCCTAACTGGTATTCCAGACTCTGGTCCTGTCCCCTTCCAATTCACCCTCATGCTGCTGCCAGAATGATCTTACAAAAACCCAAGTGTAGTCAACTTACTCCTTTTGTTTAACATATTTTACAGACATATGAGGCCCTCTGCCTCTCTATCTAGGACCAAAGTATACTCTAGGCTGCAGTCATACCAAAACACTCTCATGACTCCCATAAGCCTGGAAAGCCCCCTTCCCCTCAACCCCTTTGCCTGGTTAAGTTTTATTTGATGTGTCTCGGTTCGAGCTTCACTATTCACTCCTCAGAAGTCCTTTCCTAACCTTTCTCTGTGGCAGATAAAGTTCTACTCCTAAAATACCCTATAGTACTAGGTAATTTTCTGCTCAGCCTTTGGAAATGGCCTAAGAGTTCCTCGAGATTAGGAGCTGTATTTTACTCTCTGCATACCCAAGACACAAAACCATTTTCTTCTCATTAATTAAGGGATTTAATGGATGAAAGCCATAGATTTGTTTTTAGATCTTTTATCTTTGGGCAGCCATGACTAAAAGCATAGGGTAACAGGAAACAAAAGGGAATTGTTAAGAAACAGTTAAAGCAGAGCCACAGGGACTTCTTTCAACTGGTGATCTTTTCAGAAATCTCTATCTAAAGTCCCTGGCAGGTAAGAGGGCCACAGGAGGTCCACCGTAAGCTGCCCTCGCTTCTTGAGATTGACCTGACTTGGGAAAGCTTCTGTCCTTTTTTTGGTATTTGGTACATAAATGTTGAATGAATAATATGTACCAAATATTAGTTATGTGGTGGGTACTGGGCATACAATATCATACTGAATTTTCCCAACAGAAAGAATGAAGGAAGAATAGCAGCACTTTCCTCCACGGTTGCATTTTATTTTTGATATATACGTTTATAGCAAGTTTCTCTATATAGTGAAATAACAAAAGACATTTCAATGGCACTCACCTCAAGTGCTGCTGTTCAGCAGCAGCAGATGCTTCTGTGGTAGGTACTCCTTTGTAGCTTACCTTAAAGTCTTTTTCTGCCAGAGTCCTCATTAGGAAACTGTAACTCAATGGATTCTACATATACAACTGACACTTCCCTCAGTAATGATCAGTGATAAACTATAGTAAAAGCTTGAACATCCAGCAGATGGGGACAATAAGGAAGGAACCAGTTATTCTAATCTATGTAACCAAGTATTAATTCAGAAGGGACAAATTGGGCTCATTCTTAAACTTCCTTTTCTTTCTCTCCTAAGATATATAAAGTAAATCACTTCTGTTCATCAAAGTCTGGCAAGACCTGGTTCTTCTATCTCCCTACCCCACTGCTAACCAGCAATAATCTCTTCCCTATAAACTTCTAGAGAGTACTAGACCTGTCATATATGTGACTAAATAAATGTTCACTGAACAGTGGACACAGAAAGTTGGTGTGCTTAGTTTAGGATAACTGCTTTAGTATAACTGCTAGTTAGTTTGAAGGCGGGATGTTTTTGGTGACTAGACTCAAGATTTTTATTGAGGAAAGAGATAGCAGAAATTCTGGTCTGACAAAGTTCTAGTTGGTAATGAACAACTACTGTTCCTATAGAATCACTTAGGTTACCCATTCTCGTTATACACTTTTCCAGATGAAGAAACTGAGGCCTGCAAAGGCTAAGAAACGGTCGCAAGTTCAGAGAGCTTAAAAATACAAAGCTGGAAGTAGAGGCCTGGTTTCAAAGTGACTAGGCCAGTGCTCTGTGCTTGCATGAACTACTACTTCTAAAGAGTACAAAACATTTTTGGCCAGGAAAATATGAAGAAATTCTATATAAACATAAACATCTAGACCAATTCAAATACTTAAATGGGCACATTTTAGGACATCATCTCAGTATTGCTGGTTGATTATCTCTTCAGTGGAAAATGAATACCCACGCCTTTTATGTTAATAACTTGAGTTTAAGAGTTTCTCATCTCTTTTTTTCTTTATGAATTCCATGTCTGTCATTTATCTTATTTAATGATTTTAAGTCTTTTTGAATAACCATGTTTTGCACATACACTGTATCAAAGCATTAATTCTATTCTACTATAGTACTTAATGAATGTGGTAGTATTTGGTAAAGCCCTGCAATGCCTAATCAGTATATTTAGTTAGTTAGGGGAAGCTACCAGAGATCCTTGCAGCTGAGATAAAATTTATAATTGCTCCTAGGAAATTCTTCACTTTGTATGATTCTAGTCTTTTTCCTCATGTTCTTTCTCACTCAGAGAATCAAATATGCAAAGAATTCAACTACACAAATTCACAGGAAGTTTACTATCAAAATCCTACTTGATAAAAGTTAAGTATAAGAAATTCTTCATGACCAAGATATGTGAAAGGGACTGGGAAAGGAAATCAATTGAAATGGGAGCTTTGAATAAACAACAATCTAACAGATTAGCTGAATTAAACATATTGAAAATTTTAAGGGAATATTGAAATTACTCAAGTGAAAATCTAGCCTCTCTAAAATTCAATATCTAATATTAGACAGTTTATCTTTTCACAAACAATTACTGACTGTATACATTTAATTTTTATTTTACTTGAAACATTCTGACAAGCAACAAACTGAGAATTACAAAATAGTCAATGAAGAATACATTGAGGGCACATAACAGATACTGGAAATGAAGGTTTGATAGTACGTTAAAGCTTGGAAATTATAGGAGTTTAGAAATACAGAATTACAGAAGACAAGAGACATTAAGGCTGTCACAACTTTTCAAGAATAAAGAACAAAACTGTATAGAAAACTAAATTAATTTTAGAGTGTAATTTTTCTTCCTTAAAAAATTTCTTATGCAAATAACAAAAATGACAGAGTAAGTCAGCCTGTCAAAATGAAAAGAATCTAAGAATTAGAAGGGACTACAGTTATCATATTATCTCATCCACTCCATTTTACAGAGGAAGCTGAGGCCCACTGAATAGCTTTGCCCAGAGGATAAATATCTGAAGTTTTACATATACATTTACGTTAATCTCCATTGCATTAGATATACTGCCATCTGCCTAGACAGTAACTAAAAGAGATCACATTATTAGGATCTAAGTTTTGAACACAGGTATCACTTTGTTGATTTTTGTAAAAAGGACACATAAAAGGTAAAAAGACAACACTGTTTCTTTGAAATGTGAATGCCTCAAGTTAGCTTTAGAATATCATCCATTCTTATAAAATTATTCTATGCAGTAGTTGTAAACTATAATCATAGACTGAAAAAAATGTGCTAACATATAAGAAATTAGAAATTTTTATAGCACTTAAGGATCTGTGCCATTTTTAAATGGACCTATACATATATATGTATATATGTGTACAAACAAAATACTCTTATAGTCACACTTATTTCCTAAACCTGTCTTTAATGAGAAATATATGTTAATTATCTGATACAACCTTTCAATATTTACAGATTTATAATTTGAGGGGAAAATACACCAAGATATTAGTTTAAGAGGAGGCAAAATTTATTAGTGCTTACTGTTGTCTTTGACCCTTTAACACAACTGGCATCATCAGTTTTTTTTTTTT